TAGAATCTCTTGGGGGTATGATAAACCCAATTCATTACCAAAATTAGAGCTTTTATCAAACGGCGAGGCTGTAGTAAGTCACGAATTTAGAGAATTACTCGGATGTTCGAAGACTGACGACACAAATACTAAAACATTTTGGCGGCCTACTCAGTTTATTTTTCATATTAATCTTCGATCGGTATGGTAACAATAAGAATAGTTTGTTTGTTCCGAATTTAGGAATATCAATTTTCTGGCGCAGCTGCACAAATTTTTAAAATAGTCTTTGTATTATGCGTAAGCGCATTATTTTATTGCCAACTGCTTTCATGGGAAGATAAATTTTTAGTACCTAAATGAAATCATTATTCGGTTTGCGCAATGCCTTGGCTTATAAGGAAACAGTTTAATAATTCATTGAGATAGGGCCACAGGTGCTTGTTTTTGAAACTTTCATTTCAGTATTGCGAAAATAAGCTATAAGTTTGTCTGTCAACAGTTTAGTTATGAAGTTCCGTGCCTCAACATCGCTGAATTCGCGACTACAAGAAATGGATCTGATTGTAATAATGACCTTAATATATATCGTGATAATTTGTGAAGGTATGGTTTCTAAAATTTGCAATTTTTGTCCTTTTGAACGAACTCATGTTTGATTCGAGCATGACTCTGTTATGTTATCGGATTTTGTAGTTTCAATGTTTGGTCCGTAAGCATCGATAAGGACCGTCTTGAAGTAGTTAACACACACTTTGATTATTCAGCTCGACTCTTCAGTTCTAGATGAAAATGATAAATGCATTTGTTTTTTTAAATGAAAGTTTATTGGAAATTGAGACCAATATTTGACATGCACCATGCACAGGAAAGTCAAATTTCACGAGTCGCGCCTATTTTCGCTGCTTCTTTTTTCCTTCCTTTATTTTCCTATTCTTTTCTTCTCGGCAAAACTGACTCTTACCGAAAATTCCTCTTCTCCTCTTTTTTGGCCTTTTCCCCCTTTTTCAGAAGTGGTTTCACACGATGTCGAGTGTTTTATCGTTGCAACGTCAAAGAAAACGGACGATCCATGGAAAGCGAACATTTGGGAGTCAAGAGGTGGAGATCAAAATAATGAAAAACGAGGTCAATTTGTTATGAGCTCTGAAACAGAATTGCTTTTTTTGTCTATAACAAAACGCATCGAAAAGGCTCGATATAGCTCAAAATCCTTCACGGAACTGAGTCTGACTCGATCATCATCGCTATGATAACAAGTGAAGACTAAGATCTTAGTTAACACCCATGTATAACAGCTTCAAGCTCTAAATCATCACTCACAAAACGGTCACTGCTAAATCGAACAAAACTCACAAAGTACATCTGCCTCAAAATGTTTTTTAGGAGGGTTTTAATGTGGTCAAATTTAGCTGTTTGGTGTAAGAATTGACAAATTTTAACCTCTAGTCGTTTAAAAAGTTAACCGTCGATTTTTTTTTCAATTGAAACAGAAAGAAGTAAACGTTAGCTGTAAAATGGCCAAATTTTAATCGTCAGTTAGATGTCTTAATGTTATTGTGTCGGGTTTACCATGTAATCGCGATTTACCCGGAAACAATGGGTAAAAGGCAAGGCATAAACGAACAAGAAAAATTTGGCAACCAAAGCTCAACTGCTGACAAGAAGCTTAAAATGAACGAGTTTCTTGCACTTAGCACGAGACCGTGAAGTAGATTCAGCATGTTGGAATTGTTGTTTATTAAAATTCACGGTAAGAAAATTGCGAGGCTTTGCGTTGAAACTTCTCAGAATTTTTACGATTTAAACCAAAATCTTCTATTTAACAAGACTTTTAGGACATTAAAACTTAAAAATAATATTTACCGTTCCAAAGAATTATCCCCTCGTCGCAAAGCTTCAATTAAAGTCAGAAAGATGACTTTGTTCCTTTCCAGGCATAATTCGCATCGCGTTTGGGAACGAAGTACCTTTAACTCCAAAGCGAATTTCTTCGCTTGAAAGGTCCACATTCTCATTGTTTTTCGAAAAAAGCATAGTAGATTAGCATATTTACTTTTCATTTTGAGCTCCAAAACGTCTATCTAAGTCGGAATAGAACGGAAAAGCAATATTGAAAGGGTTGAAAACTCGACGGGAACTTACAGCTGCAGTGAAACTGCATAGCACACATCAAGTTATGGTGCACGTGCATACATAAGCATTTTTAACATGGGATTTAATTTACCTTTGTCTTTTATCCAACTATTGCATTCATGGGCAGTTTTTGAGCAAAATATAGGTTTAGGGCACATTTCAAGCGCAAAAAAATCAACAACTTCGCAGAAAACGTTTATCTATGCAGATTTCTAAATATTTTATCAACACTTGACAACTTTTCTCATGCCTGTTGCGATTCTTATCTGATATTGTAAGGTGGCAAGACGTTAAGTGAAACATGTATCTTGTTCCCTTAGACATGAGAGTATCCTTAAACTTCGCCCATATTTGCGAGCTACTCTTTAAAGGTAAATTTTAAGCTTTTTTTTCGTGACCAATGTGTGGAATTATTGTGAAGAATGAAAATTGAGATTTGGATTAACGTTTGTATAATATATCAAGGAATTCAGATAGCACCTTATAGTATAAATTTTCAATTTGTTTGCAACTTTTTTGGCATTTAAATGGGCAACTTTCCCGCATTTTATGCGCACAATCGGGATAAGTTAACGCTCTGTAACACTTCATGGAGTCTTAAGATGAAAAATTCCGGTTGCAATTAGATCCAAAAATCATTTTCATTTAAGTTAAGTCAAGGAGACGCACGTAATATTTGCTTTCCATATCGAACTGACTTGTATCACCTGCTACCCAGGTCTCGTACTGATTGCTTTTCTAATATTCGTCTCAAATTTATGTCAATAGTGAAAGAATATTTAATTTCCACTGCGAGTGTTTCGAATAGCCTGATCGTCAACCATCAGATCATCTTTCCTTTGAGTGATCATAGGAATCGTATGGTTTTTAACAAGAATGCCATGCAAATGATGAAGAAAGGTAGTACGTGAGTTGACATAATTTTGATCTCTTTTATGTCTTAGTATGAATGGTTTTATTGTCATGAAAAACAACAAAAGTAAAGGATTTTCGTTCGTGCCACGATGGAGTCACTTCTGAAGTCGATCGCCAAGCTCCGATTGACTACGTTGTGCCAATTATCTCAAAGAAATGAGGTCGATTGTCAACAATTTTAAATCCATGCTTTAGGAGAACACAGTTTATCAGGCGAACTCGATCATAGCCAGACGAAGAGAAAAGTATCGCAGTTGATCAGGAATTTGCAATTCACATCAGGAAAACTAAATGTTACACACACGATTACCAACTTCATTGCATCAATGGCAAACCAAGTCTTTATGGGTGTTTAAAGGTTATGAAGTTTTTGAGAGATTTAATGAAACATGTAAAAACGGTTCGCTATATAAACTCTTATTTCATACTTAATTCATGTAATATTAGCATGATAAATGTTTAATTTGGCATTGTTTATATTTTGCTGTCGTTAGAAGAATTGCTTTAGGATGAATTGTATATATTTTTGTGGAAAGTTCGCAGCTACATGAAATTTATCACCTCCCTCTTTGTCGTGGTGATTTTGGCCTCCAACAGGCTAACGGTGTTTCACTGGCCTCCTACAGGCTAACGGTGTTTCACTGGTCTCTTACAGGCTAACGGTGTTTCACTGGCCTCTTACAGGCTAACGGTGTTTCACCGGTCTCTTACAGGCTAACGGTGTTTCACAGGCCTCTTACAGGACATCTAGACATCTCATGAAACAATTCAAAAAATCTTCCAAAGTGAAGCAAGAGCCGGTTGTACTACTGTGACTTTATGTCAGGGAAAAAGCGCTAGGGGTGATTTCGGTCGATGAAATTTTTAACACATCAACACCTCCTGGCAAGTAATTCAAAGCAATAATTTCGATCAAAATTGAAGTGCCGCTTTCTTGAAAAGCTATTCTTCATTATAATACAGTACAGCCTTTAAACCTCTCCTCTTCCACCGCTCGATTTTAGAATCTGACAAAAGGTTTTCTAAACTTTAGTGACAAGAAAATACATTTTAGATCGGCAACATTTCTCAGTAATTTCTCAAATTATCATTAGTATGTGAATTCAAATGGAACCTGTCTTTTTAAAAATAGTGGTACTTGCATAATGACATAAACCTATGGAAAACGATCTATCGAATTGTTCCACCATCGAAAGAAACGTTGAAATGCAAAAATTAATTGTGAAAATAAAAGATCGTTGGGATCGTTTCTGAAAAATGAATAAAGGAAAGATTTTCTTCTATTGAAAAACTTACAGCAAAGGTGACGTTAGTAATGTTAACTGCACACACTTTGCAATTTGTGCGTAATGTAATCATTGTTTGTAATACTCTTGTTTGAATAATAAGCTTTGCAGTGTGAGCAAAGAATCAAAGTCAATGAAAAGCAAAGCTAGGGAGGTAATGTACGTAATGTGGAGAAACTCTGGTTGAGCAGTATCGCTGCATTTTGATCGTAATGTATTTTTGTTTTCATTTTACGTAATATAAACAACTAACTTTCAAAAGCAAATGAGACAAACTTTGTTGGAATTGTTCGTAAAACATGAGAGTATTTCATGTAGTTCCTACATAATTTATCATCGAAAACATTATTGATGAATAATTTAGGTTTGCTGTAATACTCGTATTGTCCCTGTACATCCTTTATTCTTCCTTCTAAGTTTGTTATTGACAAAGTTCTGACTAAATGAGTTCAATCAATTAGTTTATGAAAATTTTCCATCCTCAAAAGCAAGGCCCCGAAATTAACCAGCCGAGGAACTTCACCGTGTTATGACATCAGCGTTGAATTAATAGCTAATGCCACATCTAAGTGGTACGGGTGGCGATATTGCCTTGTTTCCCAACTGACCGCAAATGAAATGACTTGGGAAAGTTTGCAATTGTTTACGTCTTAACCGTGCAGGTGAATGATGTGCTAAAGTTAAGCCACAAGACAAGATGGAGTACAAGCTCCGACATCATCGAAGCTATCTTTTAATGGCGATTATCTTTATTTCCTTTGGATCGGCCTTAACTCGAGGTATGTTGTTGCACTTCTTTGAAAATGTGTATTACCTATAATTACTTTGACAAATTGTCAGGTCTTCGATTTTTTGCCGAACTATCACACGTGCCTAGTAAAATACATTAGATCTAGCCTAATCTAAGTGTTTGTTCTCGACCTTGTTCAAAAAGTTTCTTATTCCAGGTTTAATATGTCGATGACAAGTAGTTGTCCGAATTCAGCAATGATTTACGAAACAAGAAGCTTATGTTAGATGTTTAAATATTGACTGCCTGACTGGTTGATTGACTGATTGGCTGACCCATTGATTGATTGATTTGAAATATGAATCCTGCTTAACTCAAATTTTATTTTCCAGGCACAAGGCGAAAGTCTATTGCTAAGGTTATGGACTTCAAGGCTAAGCAGTTTTCCTATTTGAACATCACAGTAATCACGTCCGTGTTTGTCCCTGATGGCATCGACTGTGGGTTGGCTTGTTTAACATCGACTTCATGTTTTTCTTATAACCTGGCTGCATTTCCTGATGTTAATGGGAAACTGCTATGTGAACTGCTTCCATCTGACAAGTATAACAACACGGATAAATTCATTGCAAGCCCGATTTTTCACCACTTCAGCATTTGGGTTAGTATAAATCGGATGGCTTTTTGACGTAGAGCTGTATTTAACTAGTCTTCATAGGTGCTAGTGAATTAGCTTGGAAAAATTTTATCAGTTTTCTCCTTTTTAATAATTATCATATGGGAATATGCTTTCTAGGAACTTATTTTTCTGTATCCTTATTATTTTACACTATCCTAACGATTACTGTGCTTATCATACCAATTACGTACGCGTTGTCTTATTCCCAGACCTTCCACGGAAGGTTCTGGGTACACAATTAACGAACGTGTTATCAGAAGTCGAGCTCCCACAATTCCGTGCGAATGGAGAGCCTTATCCATGCGCAAGGGCTTAAGGTGGGAAGGAGAGGGTGCTCTGCAAAAGTTTGCAACATGCATGCAGTATGATGGAATTACTTCAAATTTAGGTGAGATAAAGATATAATTTTGAAATGATTTTTCTCAACTCGACAGAGTCCTTGCTTCCGCAATCCTTGTAAAAACAATGCTACGTGTGTGGCCAATTACGTAAATGATGATTACCAGTGCGCATGCTCACCAGGTTATATGGGAGAACACTGCGAAGGTATCCTGAAGTTGGTGTACTAATACGATGTTTGTTTTCTGAGTGCAGAATTAGAGAAGGAATAAAGAAGGCCCAAAACGGTTTAACTTAATCTCGCCCCTAGATCCTACCGTGTAACTAAAATGTTACAACCGCTTGGCCGTGGAAGGTCTGGGTTCGAGACTAGGTTTAACTCGTCGATAGGGCAACCGAAATTGCGTGTTTAAGATTATTCCTTTGAAATTGAACCTGCAGTAATATTTCTGTTTAACTTGACCTATGCTATTGGTTGTTTATCTTATAAGAACATAACTTTTGAAATAAAAAGCAAAAAGGGGGTGTCCCTGTACTCGTTCAGCTGTACCAAATAGAAAGCCACTGATATAATTCCAATAATATCATGACAATTATGCTCGCAAGTAATTGCTGAATTTGCGTTTCCAAGAATTACTCTTACACCGAGAATTGATTTATATTTATTTTACGGAAAGAAAGTCATTGCTCAAAAATTAAAAATTGATATTATGCTTGTTTGCGAGAAAATGACGATTTACTCTGGTGAGCTCCGGCTGTTTAAAATTATGCACGGTAAAGATGTAAAATGCAATTCTACGCCTTTTGGGAACTCATTTTTTAGTTGTGTTATTTTCTTCTTGGATAATCAGGTTTTGGAAAGAACTGCAAGGGAATCAAAAGACAAGATGAATCTGCGGTAGATGGTATGTATCTGCTAGACCCGGATGGAGGAAGCCATTCCAATGCATTCCAAGCCTACTGTGACATGACGTCCTACGATGGAGGATGGACCATGTGTTACACTACCGATGAATACGTCAAACTTAAGACTCAAGTCATCTACAACACGCAGTTTCCTTATGGAAGTGACGGTTATAGGACAGACTGTAATAACATCCCCGTAAGTTGATTGCCAGCTGATTATGGCTTTGAGGAGCCAGCTTTTATTTCCAGATTTTTGAGCGTCAGTTAAAACCTAGCATGGAGTCAACCTATTACAGACTACAATAGCTACGGCTTACGTTTTCTTTTTACGAACTTTATGGAGAAGCTTTATTCGCACCCTTTGAAGGTTCCCTCAGCCTGATCGTTTGAATCTACGGTGAAGATTTTGCTCATCATCTTAGAAATAACTCAAAGGTCAATGTGTTGAATATAGAGCAGTAGTCCCTCAAGGCTCTGTAATATTCACATGACCCTTCCCCCTCCCCCCCTCGTTGGCAATTAATTGACAGGCAATTTCCTATAGTCCCCCTTTATACTCTACTGGCGACGACTGATCAGTTGCCAATGGTTTCGATTTCGAATCGCTTTGTTGTTGTTTTTCTTTTTTTGGCACCATCAATCTTCTCTATAAGGGTCTAAACTAAATATCACCTCAGTAAACCACAACGAATGGAGATAGTCAGGAGGAAAGGACATAGCAGAAATTACTAGAAAAGACTACTGATTCAAGAAACTGTCCCTTTGCACCATTAAAATGGACATTTCATTCCTCTTTTTTAGTTCACGGAAGTACTATTCGTTGATCATCAAACTGGTAACAAAGCGTACTTCAAACGACAAACCAAACAACCAATAATGGCGGCCAATATCTTCGGGAATGCTGCTGCGACGGGCCTCTGGGACGGAGTGGGCACGAACACAAATTTTAACTACCAGCTGCTGGTCTGTGATCATTCGTTCTACAGCGGCTTTTTCGTTTCTGGTCTCACAGGAAATTGTTACAAGCAGTGCTACTCTTGGTGTGGAGATACCTCCTCGCCTTACTTCCGCACTGCGTCTACAAGTTCGTCCTACAATGGAGTGGCCTTTAACACAAATGGTCATACCCCTAATCGAGTGAGCAACAGACTCATTAGTGTCGGTTTGCGCTGAATGAAGGTCTGACCTTGACACACCCTTTTGGAAGTTTTAATTTCTCAGAAAGTAAAACGGTGAAAGCCAAGGGACTGGTCATTTATTTATCACTTGGGGAGAAGGAGAGAGAGAAATGGGGAGGGGGGGGGAAAGGTCCAAGGTTTTTGGTTTTGTAACGATACAAACTGACCAGATCCTCCCATAAGGCTCTCTAATGCTCTTATGCCCCACCGCCCCAGTGAATAATCTCTTGTCCCCACCTCCCCCTATTAGCAGTTAGTTGGCAGTCAATTTTACATAGCTCCCCTTTTATACTTTGTTTGCAACGACTGATTCCTATTTATAATCTCTTACCCTCCCCTCTATTGGTACTTAATTGGTGGACAATTTTCTTCTGTCCCCATTTTATATTTTATTGGTAACGACTGATTCTCCCTCTGAAAAAAAGTTACCCCACTATAATTTTATGATTACAGTATTGATAACGATGATGACTAAGATAATGATCATGGTAATCGAGGAAAACCTTTAAGACTTCATCATACACGAATTAAAGCACTGCCTAGTGCCGTTAGTCTCCTTTGCAGTTTTTCTTTGGGATGTTACGCAAAAATCGGCAGCGAATGAGATCATTGTAGTCATGGATATGGAGCTAACTGCAAAAAAAAAAAAATGCCTCAGAATCTATATAGTAATGATATGATAATAAACGATAGGCTTAACTGTGCAAGTATTTTGATTGGTTTCTACTAATGAGCTTCTAGAGCTCGAGGACATACGTCACCATTGACAAAATTTGGCTTCATCTCAGATAAAACAATTAAAATCCTTGTTGCTGGGTTTGTCTATGTTTGTAATCACCCCGACATTGTTGCCGAAACTTCAACTCCGAATTCTTCAATTGACTGGGATATCCTCCATTTAAAGAACTTCCAGGAACATCGTCTTCGGCTAAGAACGAAGGACCGTATACAAACACGCTTACAAAATACATCCTTCAGCTCGCTACCTTTGGCCCAAGATGCCTTGCTTTTGTGTTCTCGACCCAGCTCACCTCAGACGGCCGCCATTTTGGAATTAGGAGTATACAGAGAGGTCAAGATGTGGTTAGAACATCAGTGACACAAGCCTCGTATGCCTCTATTTTGTTCTTACCGCATTTTGACGTCATGTATTCTCTCCTAGAACAGACGCACGGCAACAGGGAATCTTTTCGTTTATCATTTTTTTTCCAATAGCATCAACGACAACATATTATTTATCGGATAAACAACTACTTTAATCAGCGTCTAGCGGTAATTTGAAAATAAAGTTATGTAAGTAAATGAATTGTCATTAGCTCCAGGCCGATATATTTGAGATGAATTACCAAGTGTGAGAATCAACTGACAACTCAGGTGAGTTTGAAACAATGAGAAAAGTCCAGAAAAGGATGATTATGATAGCCGCATCATTTCGGTTGTCATGAGATTGAAAGTCCATAATAGGAATGCGTGACACAAGCTGACGTGACGACGGAACACCCCTTAACATGGGATGCAGGGTAAACAAACATGACACCTTTCATCGAAGCATTTTGGAGATCAAATGTCCTTTGGTGTTTACAAAGTTCATTTATACAGTGAGCTGAAGAAAGCACGCGTACACCAGACGCTTACTCTTTATTCCAAGCACAACTGAAGCATTTTTTTTTTTCATCACACGGACATGTCGACGTCAGAGCAAAATCTTTCCGACGAATTCGAAGGGGAACTGCCGGCGGAGGAGAAGCCTCGTCTTACCTTTACACAAGATATTCCACCGGCCATTCATTACGGGCATAAACTGGATATGACAGATAGGGATCCCGTCAAAATGAACGACCACGTAAAGGTACAGAAATAAACACAAAGGAAATGTTTTTGAAGTAATTTACTCTATTTGCATCAATGACCTCGATAAACAAAAATGTTAGGCGATCCTTTATTTCATACGAGTGTTTTTAGGAGAGGGGTGTTGGCACTGTCCATTCGGTGTCACTTTTGAGCAGAAATTTTTCAATATAGCGAGCAAAGTTCGGGAATCCATGTTCAATTTCTTTTAGTAACACCGTTGTAGCAAAGAATTTTGTCATGAGTGCATACGCGTTGACATTCTTAAATTCTCTGGTTTAAAGATCAAAGAGTTCTTTAATTTGAACTTAAATTGGGTCATAGCTGAAGGAATACTGATTAGCTTGTGTATTGATTACAGGGGTTGACATTTGATCCAGCTTTGTGGAAAGTCTTTTGATAAGCCCTCTCACTGCTGAAAAGGGTATTTTTGTGACTCGCGTGGCGTGACACCCATTCTTAGAACAATAGAAAGAGTCTTTATCTGTAACCTGAAATGCAACTGAAATTAAACGTATTTTTCAAAGATTAAACGCATAGATTTTGAAAGCGCAGTACTAAACGAAATGGGAATGAGTATTTCGTTGTAAATGATCGATTTTTATATGATTATTTCAAGCGTAATTTTCTACCAGAAACAAGCAATGAAATAAACTTCTGAAAAGCTAAAACCATTGACGACTTGCAAAAAAAAAGTGACTCGGAAAGAAAGATTTCTTGCTCACGAAAAGATTGATTTTTCATTTACGGACAGGTTTTCTTTCAAGACGTATTTGCTGAGCCGGATGGTTCCCACAGCATTGATGGGGTCTGGCGGACGAGCTTCAATACGTTCGTGGCCACCAAGTACTGGTGTTACAGGATAATTACAGCTATCTGTGGAGTACCTACTGCCATCTTGTGCGGAATCTACTTTGCTTGTCTAAGTTTTGATTACATCTGGTGCATCATGCCCTGTTTGCGTGCTTACGTCATTGAGCTGCAGTGCCTTGGGAAGCTGTTTAGCCTGTGTGTGCGCACATTTTTCGACCCGTTTTTTGAGTCTGTGGGAAGAATTTTTGGTGGAATGAGGATTTCTCATGCAAGAGAAGACAACAAACCCTTTTCGGCATGATAACATTTGTCTTGTCACGCAAATGTTTCTGATTGAGTTGTCTCGATTTTCTTAAAGTGCAGAGAAAAGAACTTAAAACATAACGCTAAACCTAGGAATTCCGTACTCATGTTTTACTTAAGTTCGTCAGTATTATACCATTAATATATATCAACCAACCTAGAATATAATCTTATATACCGCATTTACAATTATTAAGGCTCAATTCAACTATTCGCCTAGGAATTCGCAAAGTTTGTTCGCTCACCTTGCAGAACCGAACGTTGCAAGACGAACTTTATGATTAGCCTGGTTTATAGATTGCAGATATTCATGGCTTTTTAATTCCGGTTGTGTTCTAGCATGTCTCTAATTGAACATACGTCCTCTATACATACTTTTATACACTTTTATACTTATACTTTTATATCTACTTTTATGTACTTAATTTACCACAGTATTAAAATTCTTCTTTCAAAATGAAACGAGCGCATTCGATTATTCCCCACATAATCACTTACATCAGTTTCTTTGATGTGTCTGATTCACAAAACAGCCATTGCTCCCTGTTTTTTTGAGTATCGCTCATCCACTAGAGCATTAGTCAATCGTAGGTTATCCCCCTTCCCACTTGCACTTGGTTAACCAAGACAGTCTTTTAACAACTTACAAAAATTCCGCTTTGGTATCACAAACCCTAATCTTTCGTGCGCCATGAATTTTCGTCTTTAAATAATGACCGCCGGATTTCTGGCAGGTTTTGCCTTGTTTACTTGATTTCAGTGAAAAGGTCCTTATTCGCTCATCAGACCATGTTGGAAATTATGGAATACCGAAAGCCTATGCAACCCGAATCAAAGAAAAAAAGGGTATCCTAAAGGAAAACGTTAAGCATTTTTCAATCTGATCTTCACCCTTTAACTCCCAAGTTAAATTTAGACACAACAACTTCACCTCGATTTACTTTGTGTCGTTCACAAATGGGTGTTACTGCTGGATTTTATGTATAGAAGGCTCGATTTATTCCTTTGGGTGTTCCCTTCGGGGGCCGCGTAGAACCGCTGAAAGCGTAATGAATAAGTTCGGATTCATTCGCTCTGAAAAAGGTGAGATCGTTTGAAGGAAGACTCAGAGGAATGAGACAATGGCGCAATTTAGCGACCACGAGCGGCTACGTCTGTAAGTGAATCCCTCCTGTTTTGACGTGTCAATTCGACGTCAATGAACTCCAAAGAATGATTGAAAACATGTTATGCCTTCACGTTTTTTTTTGCTCAATGTTCTCAAGTTTGATTTGTATTTATTGAAACAAAGCATTTTCAGAGCTTTAACAAGAGATCTTGAACGAACATATTTGATGATTGTAGGCCAAAGTTCGTATTTTACTTCTTGTTGTTAGCATTTTAATTTATGTACAGCCATCTTTTACCGGTGTCACAGTGGATTTGAACCCCCCGCGGATTTGCACTCCCGGACCAAATCCGCCAGCGGATATGGACCCCCCTTCGCAGATTTGGACCCCCTACCAAACTTTCCTTTTAAGCACCGTTAGTATCATATTTGGTAACTAATTCTATTTGCAAGCTTTTGGTCAATGTTCTTTTCAATCACGACACAACGTTCCTCAAAGTTTCACGTAACTTGAAAACTTGAGAATCAGTTGAACTTAATTAGATTTCGTGCAGCACCAGATTCCAAACACCCCTTGTACGGCTGACTGAATTCAGAGGCACGCGTACAATTGTTATGTGTCCAGTCATCAAACTCCTGTAAATTTGGATACGTTCATTTTCACCCTTGTTCTTCCTCGCTACGAAGATTTTATTTATCTCGTTTGGTGATGAATTAAAAACGCATTCGCTTTATCAGATAAGGGGATTATTGACAGAGATAAGTATATAGCAAATAGATTGCAACTCCGAACAAAATTTGACTTTTATGTTTATTCCTGTGGTTCGACCCTTCTTCGTATTCGACATAACGAGTTGAATTCTTCCCTAAAATCCTTGTTCAAAATTCCGTAAATAACTGGGTTGAAACAACTTCCCAGCCCTACCGTAACTGAGCCGAAGAAGTAGACTTGCCGAGGAATAGGAAAATGTTCGTGAAAACTTTCGATCAAAATAATCACTAGAAATGGAGTGTAACATATTGTGAAGCTGACAACAATGCACGACAACAAACGATTGAGATGAACATCTTCGGCATTTACGTTAGAAGAGCTCATATGAGAAGTATGCCTTTTAACAAAACGCCACACCTTAAAATAACAAATAAAGATGACTTGGTAAGGAATAAAGGCTTCGAAAACTCCAATTAGAGCGATAAGAGTGTAGCTCGCGCTGCTGAAGTCAAACAAACAAACAATATGGCCGGGATGAAACACATTATGAACATTCGTGATGTAAAATGATACCGGTATGGCACCCGTGAAACACCAAGCAAATGCTATGGAAATCAAAATTGTTTTAACCGACACCAGTTTGCGATGCATGTTTGGATAGACAACTTTTAAAAACCTGTTGGCTGCAATAAGAGCCATGTTCATCAGAGATGTTGTCCCGAGCATGGTAGCCAAAGACGCTTGGAACCAACACAGCGTTGCTCCAAACATCCAATTTCCAACCATCGCCGAGACGCAAGTAAACGGCATTGCAACAGCAGATAATGTTAAATCCGAAACAGCTAGTGAAATTGTGTACAAGTTGAAAGGTTTTCTTAGTCGCGGATTTCTATATACAGCAACAAAAACTAGACCATTTCCCAGAACTGATACTCCCGTAATAACAAGGCAAATTAGTGTCTCGATCACAACGAGGAAAGTTTGTCGTGTTTGAAGCTCTGAAGAAAGCTTCTCTTCATATTCGTGTCGGGTCATTTCAAGTCTACCGCAATCCACTGAACTTGTCGTTGACACTCAATACTTTTGGTGCAATCTCCCGTATTTAACTTGGTAATACGTCAAGACATAACTCGCACTATTCAAAATTATCACACATCTATAGCTATCCGTGATTGGTCAAAAACTGTTTAGACGACAAATCATTTGTCTTTAGTGACAAACCACCGTTAGTTTTTATCCGAATCGGCTGAGAGAATATCAGTTCGATACAGATAATAACAGGAAATCAATTGAAATTGCCTTTTATCTTTTTTCGATTCTACTTTTCTCTTTCTAATTTCTATTAGCAGGTGATAAAGTGTGGTCTTTAATGACAGGTGAGCTCCTTTACGGAGGGGGTGTACTTTAACAGAAATTCAATTTATTTATCCCAGTAGCATCCACTTTTAATTACGTTTAGCGAAATTGGAAAAAAAAAAAAAAAAAAGACGACATTGTCGGTGCCTTCTGGGTTAAGGCATCCCTGTTTGGATTTAACTTATCATAGGCTTTCCTTTCGGATAAATCGAAGTACTGAACATAAATCATTTTTTTCTTCTAGGTTACAGTCGTAGCCGATTAAAAGTGATTACTCCACAAAGGACTTAACTATCTTAAAGGACTGTGTATGTTTTTTCAATCAATGGATGTGGGTATAAGCGAAACATTTTTCTATCAAAACATAGGGTCGTCAATCAGTCAAAAGGTAGAGCTATTAGAGGTCAGTAAAAAGAAATAATATTGCCCACGGGTATCAGATGATGCGCGATTGTTAATATCCCTGTGTGACGTCAGTTTATAACTTGGTCTGCGAAAGAAGTAAGAAAAGTCATTATCTTTAAACAAAGAGTTGCGGGGGAATTTACTTATAGTTAAAAAGTCTTCCTCACCCGAAGCCAATTTTAATCATAAATTAAGAATCATGACAACAAATTCTGCGGAGTGAAGTCGAAAGGTCTTAAGCGGTTAATGTCTAGAGTCATCCGTCAGATCGTCAACTAATTTCTAGCCACCTTCAATATTACCACTTACTGTCTCACAGTCGCGTCGATTTCCTGTATCTTATATAGAATTTATAATCTTTCGAGCGCAGCCGCAGGTTATTTGCTTCCCGTGAACCGGCCTTCACTTGTTTCATTAGTTATGAATCACTAATCATATCAGCCATGCAACGAGCAAAAACCTGCCATGTTAGCAGTTTGGGCAATATGAAATTTGACCGACAGTGAGCCGTCTGCGATATAAAGGAAAAAAAAACTGAATGCTTTCATTGAACGAACTAAACCATCGTTCAGTCAAGATGTTCTACCGGCGATTCATTACGGGCATCTACGGGATAAGACAGAAAGGGATCCCGTCAAAATTAACGACCACGTCAAGGTACAGAAAGAAACGCAAAGGGGAATATTTTTCAAGTGATTTACTCTATTTGCCCCAAAGACCTTGATAAACAAAAATTTTAAGCGATCCTCTATTTCATGCGAGTGTTTTAGGAGAGGGGTGTTGGCATTGTTCATTTTGTGTCACTTTTGTGCGGAAAAATTTCAGTACAAACGGGCTAAAAGTCCATGTTCAATTTCTTTTCTTAACACCGTTGTGGCTAAGAATTTTGTCATGAATGCATACCCGTGGATGTTCTTAAATTCTCTGGTTAAAAGATCAAATAGTTCTTTAACTTGAACTTAAATTGGGTCATGGCTGAAGGAATGCTGATCAGCTTGTATACTGATTACAGGGGTTTAAACTTGATCCACCCTCTCACCGCTATAAAGAGCGATTCTTTTGACCTGTGTGGCGTGACACTCATTTGTGGAACAATTGAAAGGCTCCTTATCTGTAACCTGAAATGCAACTGAAATGAAACGTATTTTTCAGTGATTAAATGCATAGATTTCGAAAGCGCAGTACTTTTACGAAATGGGAGTGAGTATCCCGTTATAAATGAGCGAGTTTTTATATGACTATTTTTAGTTTAATTTCCCACCAGAAACAAGCAATGAAATAAATTTCTGAAAAACCAAAACCAGTGACGACTTGTAATGAAAAGTGACTCAGACTTTTTTTCGCTCTCTCCTAACAAGTTTTCTTTCAAGACTTATTTGCTGAGCTGGATGGATCCCACAACATTGATAGGGTCTGGCGGGCGAGCTTCAATATGTTCGTGGCCACCAAGTATTGGTGTTACAGGATAATTACAGCTATCTGTGGAGTACCTACTGCCATCTTGTGTGGAATCTACTTTGCTTGTCTAAGTTTTGATTACATCTGGTGCATCATGCCCTGTTTGCGCGCTTACGTCATTGAGCTGCAGTGCCTTGGGAAGCTGTTTAGCCTGTGTGTGCGCACTATCTTCGACCCGTTTTTTGAGTCTGTGGGAAGAATTTTTGGTGGAACGAGGATTTCTTATGCATTCGAGAGAAGACAACAAACCCTTTTCGGCATGAGAATATTTGTCTCCTCACGCAAATGTTACTCACTGAGTTGTCTTGATATTCTGAAAGTGCAGAGAAGAGAACTTAAGACACGACACTTAACTTAGTAACTCTGTACTCATGTTTTACACGGTGTTACACGATGTTATAGTTTGTCAGTATTATACCATTAATATATATCAACTAACCTAATATATATTCTTATATATATACCGCATTTACAATGATTAAGGCTCAATTCGACTATTCGCTTGGGAATCTGCAAAGTTTGTGCGTACACATTGCAGAACCGAATGTTGCAAGAAGACTTTATCATTAGTCTAGTTTAAAGATTGCAAATATTCCTGGCTTTTCAATTCCGGTTATATTCTAGCATGTCTCAAATTGAACATACGTCTTTTATACATACTTTTACGTACTTTTTTTACTTATATTTTTATATTCACTTTTATGTACTCAATTTGCCACAGTATAAAAATTCTTCTTTCAAATTAAAACGAATGCATTCGATTATTCCCCACATAATCACCCTCATTAGTTTCTTTAAGATGTCTAATTTACAAAACAGCTGTCGCTCCTCGTGATTTGATATGTAGTAAGCGACTTGGAGTATCGTACATCCACCTGGCTAGAGTGTTAGGCAATCGTAGGTTAACATGTTTAGGAACATGCAGCATCAATTAAAAAATTTATCAGAGAAATCGTTTAACCCTTGGACTCCCAGATCAAATTTGTGATTCTCCTTACTGTCAACCATACAATTCTTATAGTGTTAGTTCAGAGAATTTAGTATTGAATCAACTAATTGTCCCCAAATTGATATTTTTCTTTATTCTCATCACTTATCTGGTTGATATTGTATTGATATTGTTAGGAGAAATTCTGTCTTGGTCACTCATGGGAGTTAAAGGGTTAAGCACAGGTAAAAGACCTCGTTCTATTCCAGCTCAGTGGTTCGGGTGAACTGATTAATTCTGTTGACGAAAAGACGATCTAATTAAAGTCGAAGATCCTCTTAGGTAAATTAGTGTAGAAAATCACAAGATTTCAATTGCAACTTGGAATAAATAAGCATAATCACTCCGTTCCTCATGAAGGGTCGGTATTGAAATTCATTTGTCAAGGAATATATGATTAAAGTACTAATAAGAATGATCATAATAATAACAATAATAAAGAGTAATGACAATAACAATTATAATAGTAATAATATCAATAATGATTATTGTATTGATAATAATCACAATAATACGGTCGATCCTGTATTAAGCAGCACCGTATTAAACGGTCTCCTCTATTAAGCAGTCGTGGTCATTAATTACTGAGTCCAAACATTGTTTCCCGCTTGTATTGGACGGTCACTTAGAGCGGAACCACTCAAATAAAACTAAGGATAATCTCTGAAGCAAAATTTTATCCATGTTTTTCTCCTCTCAATTTAAATAGTATTTTTGAGCGACTCTTTGTATATCAGGAGGTCAGTTATGGGATGAAATGGCCCTCTTAGTTCGTATTTTCATAGCATCACTATTCTGTGGAACCTTTATTAAGCGGTCATTTCGCCATTCCCCGCAATGTACAAGTTCGGATGCACTGCGTTGTCCACTTAGTACTGGCCATAGTTCATTTCATAACTTTTTGCTGATGTCGATCTCAAATATTAAGTGCTCACTCAGGCGAAAATGAAACAGCAAAAGCTCTCTACATTCACGGAAAATCATACTTTATTTGCGAATATCAAACATGTCATAGTACATGTCATAATACTGTACTAGGCCAGTCAGTATATTTACCTTGCAGATACGACTTTAGATTTGCATTTGCATAGTCTGTTGATGGCATTATACTAAAAAATGACGACAAGCTGACATTTATTCTCAGAATCAAACTCTCAAGTTGAAACTCTCAAGTCTCAGTGTAAGAGCCAGATAACTATTAAGCTTCAGACAGTATCGACACTTGTGAAACAGTTGAACTTGATTAGATTTCGTGCAGCACTCGATTCCAAACACCCTTTGTACAGCTTACTGAATTCAGTGGCACAAGTACAGTTGTTATGTGTCCAGTCATCAAACTCCCATAAATTTGGACTCGTTCATTTTCACTCTTGTTCTTCCTTTCCACGAAGATTTTATTATTCTCATTTGGTGATGAAATAAAAACGCATTCGCTTTATCAGATAAGGGGATTATTGACAGAGATAAAGTATATAGCAAACTGATTGCAACTCCGAACAAAATTTGGCTCATATGTTTATTCCTGTGGTTCGACCCTTCTTCGTATTCGACATATGGAGTTGAATTCTTGCCTAAAATCCTTGTTCAAAATACCGTAAATAACTGGGTTTACACAGCTTCCCAGTCCTACCATAACTGTGCCGAAGAAGTAGACTTGCCGAGGAATATAAAAATGTTCGTGAAAACTTTCGATCAAAATAATCACTAGAAATGGAGTGTAACATATTGTGAAGCTGACAACAATGCACGACAACAAACGATTGAGATGAACATCTTCGGCATTTACGTTAGAAGAGCTCATATGAGAAGTGTGCCTTTTAACAAAACGCCACACCTTAAAATAACAGATAAAGATCACTTGGTAAGGTATAAAGGCCTCGAAAACTCCAATTAGAACGATAAGAGTGTAACTTGCGCTGCTGAAGTCAAACAAACAAACAATATGGCCGGGATGAAACACATTATGAACATTCGTGATGTAAAATGATACCGGAATGGCACTCGTGAAACACCAAGCAAATGCTATGGAAATCAAAATTGTTTTAACCGACACCAGTTTGCGATGCATGTTTGGATAGACAACTTTTAAAAACCTGTTGGCTGCAATAAGAGCCATGTTCATCAGAGATGTTGTCCCGAGCATGGTAGCCAAAGACGCTTGGAACCAACACAGTGCTGCTCCAAACATCCAATTTCCAACCATTGCCGAGACGCAGGTAAACGGCATTGCAACAGCAGATAATATTAAATCCGAAACAGCCAGTGAAATTATGTACAAGTTAGAGGGTTTTCGAAGTCGCGGATTTCTATATACAGCAACAAAAACTAGACCATTTCCCAGTATTGATACTCCCGTAATAACAAGACAAATTAGTGTCTCGATCACAACGAGGAAAGTTTGTCGTGTTTGAAACTCTGAAGAAAGCTTCTCTTCATATTCGTGTCGGGTCATTTCAAATCTATCGCAATCTACTGAACTTGTCGTTGACATTTGTTACTTTTGGCACAATCTCCCCTATTTAACTTGGTAATGCGTTAAGACATAACTCGCACTATTCAAAATTATCACACATCTATAGCTATCCGTTATTGGTCAAAAACTGTTTGGAAGACAAATCATTTGTCTTAATGGACAAACCACCATTAATTTTTATCCAAATCGGCTGAGAGAATCTCAATTCGATACAGGTAGAAACAGGAAATCGATCGAAATCGCCTTTTTTTTTCGATTTTACTTCACTATTTCTAATTTCTATTGGCAGGTGATAAAGTGTGGTCTTTGATGACAGGTGAGCTCATTCACTGGGGGAGCGTACATTGAAATAAAGTCAATATTCAGTCGATTTGTTTATCCAAGTAGCATCCACTTTTAATTACGTTTAGCGAAATTGAAAAAAAAGGCGACATTGTCGGCGCCTTCTGGATTAAGGCATCCCTGTTTGGATTTAACTTATCATAAGTTTTCCTTTCGGTTAAGTCAAAGTACTGAACATAAATCATTTTTCCTTCTATTTTACAGTCGTAGCCGATTAAAAGTGATTACCTCACAAACCACTTGACCGTCTTAAAGGACTGTGAATGTTTTTTCAATCTATGGATGTGGATGTAAACGACACATTTTTCCATCAAAACATAACGTCATTCAGTAGTCAAAAGATAGAACTACAAGAGGTCAGTTGAAAAGAAATAATATTGCCTACGGGTATTAAATAATAAGCGATTGTTGATATCCCCGCGTGGCGTCAGGTTATAACTTGGTCTGCGAAAGAAGTAAGAAGTCCATTATCTTTAAAGAAAAGAGTTGCTGGGGAATTTACGGATAATAAAAGTCTTCCTCCGGAGCCAATTTTAGTTATAAAATTAAGAATTATGACAACAACTCATTCTGCGGAGTGAAAAGTTCTGGAGCGGTTACTCTTTAGAATTATCCGTCAGATGGGCGACTGTTTTAATCGTCAAGCTGATCTCTAGTCACGTTCAATGACCACCTACTGTTGTCTCACAGTTGCGTCGATTTCCCGTAACTTATTAAGAATTTATCATTTTTAGAGCACAGTCGCAGATTAATTGTTTCCCGTGAACCGGCCTTCATTTGTTTCATCAGATATAAATCACAAATTCACAAATCCTTAAACAACGAGATTTTTCAAGTAAGTCATGCAACGAGGAAAAAACCTGCCATGTTAGCAGTTTGGGCAATATGAAAATTTGACCGAATCTGAGCCGTCCGCGACATAAAGAAAAAAACTGAATGCTTACATTGAAAGAACTTAATCTTGTCGTCATTTGTTTGAGGTTCATAACAGCTATCGACAAAGAAATCTGCTAGATAAAATGTGTAACTGGCCGTAACTATTACGCTTCGTTAGCCATGACCAATTCTATTTTACACTATTGATATAATGGTTCGTCGAATAGGCGCCTAATTAAAATTTCGGCTAAAAGCGGGGGCGATATCAATTAAAAGAAGGCGCTTAATCGAAGAGGGGCACTTAACAAGTTTTGCCTTCAACGAACAAACTTTATTTTGACTAAATCTTAAAAAGAAGGAAAAAAAACTAACACACTAACCACGTAGAGTCAATATGGAGAAAGAAAAGTAACTGGAAGTGAAAAACTTTTTGTTTGTACTTATTCAATTGTAGTTCAAGCTTTAAAGGTTGTAAATAAAGTGGCAATAAAAAACCCTGACTGAATCGTTAAGGAAATTATATCTTGAGCACAGAAACCAAAAAAGTAAACGATTAAAACTTCATACTGTTTAATCTTGCATCTTGGTTGTTTAGTGCTATAAATTTACAATTGGCTAAAAAACAGGCAAAAAGAGCGGTTTTCAATTGAGTGTCGATAGTAAACCGCGATTGCTGACGTATTGCTTTATTGGTTTGGTCTTGAAACTCGCGTCACCATTTCGAACAACCAGAGGCAGAACTAAAACCACTCGGTCATTCGGTGAATTCTCAATGGCTACTTGTGTTATTTTGTACTATTTTGATCGGCCACTGATAACTTTGGTTTTGGTTTTACCACACTCACTTGAAATGCTTTGAAAGCAGTAGAAATGATTTGTGACAATAAAACTAACAAAATGAAAAAAAAAAAGAAAAAAAAAAACAACCAGTATTTCAATTCGTGGACAATTACTGTACGAAAGCCTTGCTTATAGAAGAATAAAAAAATCTGTTAAAAGGAAGATTATCATGGATTTATCATCCTTGAACTCGTGAAAGTGATTGATGATATTTTCGTAAAGAAAACATGAAGACAACAAGAGTTGTTTCTACTTAATGCATTCTGTGCTTTCCTTACGTTTATGTTACGGTGCCAATATTTTAAGCTGTAAGAAGTAACAACTAAATAAAACCGCTGTATATAAACAAAAATCTGATTGGCTCATTCAGTTCTTCGTATCTTAGTCTTCGTAGCTGACGTTATTTACAATACGAATTATATTCGAAAACCACGGTACTCTGCTGCACCGCCAATTACATATCAAGGTTTACTAACCAAGCTTAAGGCTGTTTTGGAAGGTTTCAACAACTTTCGTTTCCTCTTGTTTTCATGGTCAAACTTTGCAATTGGCTTATTTACAACAATCTTCTTGGCAGAGCCAAAACTGAACCCAGGCGCCCTCGATTTGTGACCGGGCACAGACCGTCCAGGTGTGGACCCGGGTCTAGAGAAACCCCGATGTTTTGAGTGACCTCCGTCTTCATCAGAAGATGAAACCGAACTGCTAGAGTGAGGTTTGTGAAACACTTTAGGCCTTTTACTCGTTGCCAGTTGATTCTCTGTTCCATTTTGTTTAACGGACAATGGCGCTGCTTTGTTGTTTTCATACTTCATTTCTTGGGATACATTTTTCAATTCGACCAATGCTTGTCGCCCATTTCTGTCAGCATTTAAGGATGGTGAGGAAGCTGTGAGAAAGAAACCATTTACAAAACGTAATCAATCAATCAATCAATCAATCAATCAATTTTATAATGTCATGACGTGGGATGACGTTGTCTTTACATCCGAGCAGAAGGCTAAGGCATGAAACGGACGAGAAAGCCTGAGAAATTAGCAACCTCCCTGCTTACAAAATCAACAACTTATATCAAAATCCTAACTTAGCTCAGCGTTTTGCAAAGTCGCCATTTTGCAACAATAAGTCATAACTCGGTCACCAGAAAATACAAGTTTAGTCACCAGATAAAAAAAATTTAAGATATTACATGACATATTGAAAAAGAAAAGGAGGTAATCCAGTCGTAAAATGAAATTAAAACAATGGAGCATTTAACGTTCTTTGTGCAAACGTTTATTTCACTTTATCTCAAGTCCATGAGCTCGAAGATATACCTAAAACAGGTCGCCAAGTTGAAGACTTTCCTTTCAAAATTTGTCGACAAAAAGTAATTCTACTCGCTAAGGCAACCACAACAGTCGCAGCTTGGAGCACTTCAAAAAATTACCCACAACTTGTGGGTGTATACGGTTCTTTCAGAGCACAGACTTAGACCTGGTAGATCTCCCTCTCTTTCAGGTGAAGTTGCAACTTAATTGACACAGTACATACACCACATTCATAATGACGGATGGGTCGGGAAAACCTCGGCACGAGAAAATGAAAGCGAGGCGAATGACTTTAACTCATATGTATGTTTCTCTTCTACATACCATTTCCCTCACCATTTCCATTTTCACTTAGCATTACCGTATCCACAATTGGCACTTCCTGTAGAGATTTCTGAAAGAGAAATAGAAGAATTTTAACAGTTAAAAAGTGGAGGAGAAAGTACTTTCTCATGCAAAGGTACTTAAACGTAATGTATGGTAAACATGAAATACAAATACCAGTTGACGATTAACACATTTCACTGCTTTACATCCGCATTCGTCTGAACAAGCGGTAGAGCTCTTCTTGCAAAGACAGTTACTTGTTGCACACTTCCCTGTGCACTTACATCCCTAAAAAAATGGAAGCGAATCGATCAGTCAGTCAAGCAATCAACCTGTCAGTCAATCAATCAATCAATCTGTCAACCCATCAATCTGCCAGTCAGTCAGTCAGTACGTTGGTCACATCGGTCCGTTCTCCTTTTCTTCCGGTTAACTCATTCATCTTTTTATTGATCCCTTCATCCACGTAATTTTAAACTGCTCTTCCCGTGAAAGCCACTCAGGCCTCCATGATCAAGGGAAAGCGAGTGCCTTCTCTCTCGACAAAAACATTTCTCCTTCAAGCAAGCGCGTCGAGATGAACAACGCACCCCCGTCAGAAGGAGATTGGAAATCAGGGCAATGACGCTCTTGTTACTCCGTCGGACGCAGCGCTTTTTCAAAAGCACTGGTTAACTCTTTAGAAAGCACGAAGATACCATATTTTCGAATTGCCCAGTTACCTGTCCTTGCCCAGAATTGTTGACCAGCAATGAAGAAGCGTCAGTAGACCGGGTGGTTCGTCCAGACCTCCGTTGTGGACGACGGCCTATAGGGGTTTTCACCCAGTCTGGGTCGAGCTCAACCAAGTCCTCCTGTTCGCTCTCCTCACTCAAATCCATAGCCCAGTCCTCGTCGTGTTCGTGCAACTCCACAGTTTTCTTCCTTGATTTCTAAGGGAAAAAAGGGAATGCAAGATTGTAAATTTTGGGCTGCCTCGGCTAGCAGGTGGAAACAACTTGAAAAAAGTGCAAATTTAATCATAATTTGTAAATCGGAAAAATGATGTTTCCAACGTTAGTCCCTCATGTACATCTGGACAAACTGGTTTGAGTGCACTCTGCAAGCGTACATGTTGTTAAAAAAGAAATGACGAACAAGTTTACGATCTTAGATGGATAACTTAAATCTGCCGAGAAAATAGGGTAACCACGATCAATTCATTCAGTATGAAACTGAGGTCCTTTTATCTTGAGTTACTGCTTTTATTTGCAAGCACGCGTCTTTATATATTGAGACTTTCTCTTGGACAGTTAAGCGGAAAAGGAAAACAAAACCCGCAAAATTCGTGGAATAAGCAGAAAATTGATAGAAGAAATTCTTCTTCATTAATTACCTGTTTCTTTGGTTTGGGGGATGGAGAGTCAGATGCAAAGACTTCCTTCAGTTGTCTCAATTGCTAAAAAGGAAACACTCACATAAATCAAAAGATACAGACTGTGATAATTTCAAGTGACATTCGAACGACGCATTTTTAAAGATTCGAGACTCACTTTTCGAGATTTCAACTTCGCAAGACGTCCTAGGTAATAATTAAAACAACTTGTGAACAAATACAATAACATGTGACTCATACCTCTTTCAAGTTGTTGTTCTCTTCTTTCAACGCTTCAAGTTGCTCCTGTAAAAAGGAAATAAACGGCAATGAAGTTAGATTATGGCACTTCTCGATTGACTGAGTGTTGTAGAACCAGAAAAAAGTAATCCCAACAGCCAATCAGAAGCAGGAAAATATCACAATTCACAAGGGGCCAATGGGAATTCAAAGTAATAATAAGCAAAACTGCCTGAAGCGCGAAAAAACCGCAGGTGACCAGCACGTGGATGGTTTTAGTTTTGCCCTCGATGGGATGGCAGGGTGGTGCAATTTTTTTAGACTAATCGTGGAAGGGAGCAAAAATTTTTCGTGGCTTGTTGAAAATTTCTCATCAAGAATCTATAAAATGTTATCTGCAGAAAACTTTTAATTATTTCCCACCTGAAGATCTTCCCTTGTTTCCTGCTGGGAATTAAATGAGGCGTCGCTGGAAGGTATTTGCTGTAGAAGGCATTTGACCTTCTCCTCGTGTTCTTCCTTAAGACTTGTCACGAAATCGTCGTGAGATCTTTGAATACTTTTTATTTCAGCCTGATGCTCCTCAGTCATGGACTGAAACAGAAATTGGCTGCTTCAGTAAAATTAACACGTAAGTAACCTTAAGATCTACGCCAAATGTACGGACGCTGATAAATTAAAAGCGACATCCAATGGATATTTTGATTTGCCGTTCATAAATATTCATTATTCCAATAAGTCGTGAGATAGCACATTTATTAGAATTTATTCTAAAATTCTATTTAGACATTTAGAAAATGTCTTTTTTCCCAAAAAAGCTGAAACGATGTATTCCTACTTTATCTTCACCCGAACGTCCTTCCCAAAGGATTCTTTCAGCTCTTCCGTGTTACGTCGGAGCTAAGTTACATTTCAATGCACATATGCGGTGGTGCGCATAGCTCTCTCTCACTCACCTCCTCACGCGACCTTAGTTCTGTTAACTGGGACTCAGACTCCTCTCGAGATTTCTCCGCCTTTGTGTTGACAAGAGTCGCCGCCACTGTCTACAAAGATAACAATATATTGGAATTTCAGTCGGTATCATCTGTACTTAAAAACAGGGCAGGGCCCACGACGGGCTTGTTGCGCTTCGAGTAAGTGCACTTTGAAACAGAAATTAGCCTGTAAATTTGAATGGGTCCAATACCTAGTCCTTCACATTTTTTCTTCCTATGACATAATTACATTAAAAGCCAAACTTTTCCCGTTTCGTTTCGTTCAATTAAAAAATCCACATTTTTGGCTCAACGGTAGACAGTGATAAAATTTTAGTTTCTGTTTATCTTACAGGTTTATGTAAACAGCGACGGAAAAATACCACTCGAACGTTAAAGAGAATCGTGAGCGATTCCTACGGAAATTTTAAAAATACTCAAATTAAGTTTACACACTTGAGTGTATTGCAATCATTTCGCTAGCTGCGGTATGTGTGGACCATCACTCTATTCGAAAACAAAAGAGACAGGAAACGAAAATAACCCACCATGTTTAGCAAAACTTGTAGCCCTGCTTTTGCTTCAGCCATGCTGTGAATGTTGTTCCAGCGATGTCTCGACTTTTCACCTATTTTCAAAAGAAAAATCTCTCTTTTACATTGATGATCAGCTGCAAAATTGCTCAGAAATGCAAAGGATTAACTTCTATCATATAATTGATGGGAAATCAAATTGGGTACGGGGGTTCGGGTTAAGGGCATGAATTGAAAAGAAACTCATGATAAAATCATATCGCATTGCTGAGAGTAGGCAAATATTTCAGAGGTTCTTTTTATTGGAATGTTTTCCGCCAAATAAAAGAACACGCCTTGAAATAGGGAAAGGAGGTACGGAACAAGTTCTGATCCTGTGAATCTCACTCTCCCTTTTTCTTTTCAGTCTAGACCAGGTTCCTTAATCGTGGCCGCCTCGCCTTTTCAACACAACATCTGTGAATAGCTGTTCAAAGTAAACAGTTTTCGCAGCTTTTGATTGCTGAATTCCCATTCTACGTCTCTCTTGCATATTATCTTCAGCTAAGATCATGCTAAGTTTTACCTTGCTCTGCATCAAGAATCTTGTGCTGTAGCCCAGCGATTTGGGAACTCCTGTGAGAAAAGAAAAAAAAGTTCTGTTAGCGAGTAACTTATCTTCGGCCTTTTGCATTAACATTGCTGGAGATAACGGTCAAAGATAACGTAAATCGTTGGTAAGGGGGTAGTTATTTCTAAAAACATTGGTATCTTAACTACCAAAAAAAACGACAGTAAAACGCCTTGAAACAAACCCCATAGAGTCTGGTGAAAAAGCTGACGAGGAGGAAAAGAATTACAAAGTAAAAAAGATAAAGTAATTTGAATGAGAAGCAAAAGTTGAAACATAAAAAGAAAAATTATCGACCTTTCTTGACGACCTATAAACAAACCTTAGTTCGAGCTCGTGTTCAAGGGTGGTGATTCTTTTCTGTAAAATATGAGACTTGTTTTTCTTGTCGCTTGGAGTGCCAGCATCTTGGACCATTTTCTACACATCCACCAAAGATGACATAAAAATACAGAATTTGTGAGCATAAACATAACTCAAAAGTACAAGGAAAACCCCTCCAGGACATTCTGCCAACATTTCAGTGGTGAACCTTTATGAGGGCTGATATGTCGTATGGACAATGAAAGTCACCAGGTGAGAACAAAGGTGATGATGTCGCGCTAACATCCATTTCTTTCCAGACTTCGCGGAAAAGGAGGGACAGCTTGTATTTTAATGATGCGGAGACCAAACAAATAAAAAAGCTTCGATATGCAATGAAGATCTTTCATATCATAGTGCCACGAACGACTGCCTGACAGACAGGCTGACAAACAGACAGACTGACAGACCGTACCTTAGCAGCAGGTTCGTCATCCTCATCCTGTTCCTGATTTCTTAACTCTGCCAGCTGTCTCGACAACACTTTCCTGTCTTCAATGAGATTTTCTAGTGTCTGTCTAGCCTGGCCCACACTCACAAGGACCTCAACTTCATGACCTAACCAGGACTACGAAAAAAGGCAAAATCTAAGTTTTCGCAAACCCAAGTTTTCAAAACGCACCCATCTCGTGAAGTCAGTTTTCCATTTATTTTGGGTGCCTTCTTTTTGACCGAGAACGAAGGTCGCTCATCCCTAGCTTCTGATCCGAGAACGTACATTCGGAACTCCGATGCTACCACCGTTAACATAACATTTCATCGAGCT